CGGCAGATACGAGATGACCAGGTAATTTCGTTTATTAAGAGAAACATCCTTTGCAGATTCGGCGTTCCTTCAAAAATCGTTTGTGACAACGGATCTCAGTTCATAAGCGCTAAGACCAGACGTTTTTGTGAGAAGTACAATATCAAATTGGAAACGTCGACACCTAGATACCCGCAATCTAATGGGCAGGCCGAGTCTAGCAACAAAATTATCATTGCCAACTTAAAGAAAAGGCTTGAAAAGGCGCAAGGTCGGTGGGCTGACGAATTGCCCTTAATACTCTGGGCAGACAGGACAACTCCGAAAAATGCAACCGGACAAACCCCATTCTCTCTGGTGCATGGCTGCGAAGCGGTCATTCCTGCTGAAATTGAAGTACCTTCTTCGAGGTATGGACTCATGACTGGGGAATTGAACAATGTGGAGTTGGTGCACGACTTGGATACCATTGACGAGATCCGTGAACGAGCCAAGATCCGTTTGCATACATATCAACAAATGGTGGCGAGAAGCTATAATAAAAATGTTCGGGCAAAGGTGTTTAAAAGGGGAGATTGGGTCTTGAGGAGAGCATTTGGCAATGAAGTAGCCGGAAAATTTAGTCCTAATTGGGAAGGACCTTACAAAATCATTGACGTCATTGGTCAGGGGGCATACCGCCTGGAATCAATCGATGGTAAACAAGTCCCTCGAAGTTGGAATGCGGTACATTTAAAACGTTTCCATTTTTAACAAAAGTTTCTTTTCTTTTCTGCATTTCTATCCCTATTACTAAATGAAATAACTAACTTGGCCGTCGGAGGGCCGTTGGCTTAAGGCCAACGACCAACCCTGACAATAATTGTAAATACAGGAAGGCACACAAAAATGGCCAAGTCGCAGGTAATTAGTTACAGTTCATGTAATCTTGAATATAGTAAATACAATTCATCATTCACTAACTTGACCGTCGGAGGGCCGTTGGCCCCAAGCCAACGGCCGATCCCAACGGTATGGTATCATCGCAGGACTGTGACAGGTTAAGATCAAAATACCAGATGACCGAATACCAGAACAACAGATAGAACATAAGATCTGCTCATGACAAAACATCAACGTACAGGGGACATGAGACTCATTATGACAAAACCATAAATGAAGTTCCATGAAACCGAATACGTTTTGGCCAAAACACATACGCATTTATGACACAGCATGACATGTTGCACACATAAATAGCAGGCATGCATACACAACAGAATGCACATAAACAAAAGTATGATCCAAGCAATAGCAAAAACAGTGACAGATTCACATAATGGTGTGGACAGGGCTAGGCTAAACCGCCAAGCGTGAAGCCCATGAGTAGCGCGATAAGGCGTTAAGTCCCGGATAAACCACCGGGAACCCTTAACGCAAGTCGAAAAGTGTCAGAGTAATTCAAAAGAAGGGAATGTTTGTAATCCAGTGGAAAAAAGGGAAGCATGATCATCTGACCGATAAACACTAAAGATCAATCTCATCGTCAGAATGACCCACCTCGAAGCCGTCTTCTCCTACAGGAGGATCCATCTCTTCCCTCAGTTTATGCCATGTAGCTACATCCCGTTCCGCTGACCGGTGTGTCATTTCTCCTTTAATAAAAGATGTCATCAACTCACCCCTGGTCTTCCAGACATAATAACAAGCGGCGTCAATTACTTCTTGTTTCTTTTTTCGACCATAAGCCTCCAAGGATTTGACTCTGGCATTGAGCTGCAGAATCTGGGCAGATTGAGTAGAACTTTTGTCTTCCAATTCTCGAACTAACTTTGCACTCTTATCAAGTGAAGATACTAGGGAAGTCTCCTTTTGTTTCAATTCATCAATGGTTCTCTCTAGTGAAGATACACGAGTAGCAGCAACAAGGCTCGCTTGAATACTCTGAAAAAGACAAGACAATTTAATCAAGAGTAAAAACGAAGGAAGTTCATTAAGCATGGCGGTTCATCAGCACCTGAAACGCATAAGCGGAGGAGGCAACAATAACACCGGTAGGAGGCAAGCAGTCAAAAAAGGGAGCAGAAGAGGCCAGTTGAAATTGGGCCATTTCATCTTTCATGGTCAGAGCGTCCTTCAATTCGCAGAATTCCGGGGAAAGTGATAAGTGCATAGCTTGTGGTGGCTTCGCTCGGGTATCAACCCCATGCTCCGCATTAGGGGCATCAGGAGTGGTAGCGGTATCAGGCGTTGGGTATTTGGGGACCTTTGGAGGATTTGCTGACAATTTAGAGGGCATCCTTTTCCTCCTCGATGCCATAGCCAACAAATCGTGGTCAGAAGGAACGGAACGAGAAGTGCTTGATGAAGTAGCTACACAAATAAAGAGGAACAGAAGTTAAGGGTAATCGATCCAGCACTAATAAAGAAGAGCATAAACCTCAGAGAATACCTGTAATAGGAGTAGAATTCTTGAATGGGGGAATGGGAGTACTCTTAACAGTGGGAAAAACGACTTGTAGAGGGACGAAAGCACTCATACCCTCGCCATCATCTTTGGAAGCTTCAGATCCTTGACCTGAATCTTCTACGGAAACGACATGTGAATTCTGATTCAAATCGTGTGCGGTAGGAGTGTGCCTACGAGACCGCCTTAACCCCACACAATCAGACTCAACAGGAAGAGGTGACGTACCTTGAAAGTCTGACACCAGATTCACATAAGTTCGATCCTCGATAGGGAACGAAAGAATCCTGGCATTTCTCTCCTCAGAATGCAGACCGGGAACCAGTGGAATAGTCTTCCTCTCTGCACGACACAGAGGAACAATGCCAAATACATCAAGTTTCATACATATATCCGAGAACGCAGAAAATATTCTGAAATTACCCGTTTCCATTACCTACACCCGAGGTTACAAATCAGATAACAAAAGTAGAAGACGGGAATCAACCGAGCAAGTCAAGAAACACGATTCGAAAGAGAAACTAACCTTTGTGTAAATTCTCCTCCAAGAATGATCCGTCAGAACCTAAAGACTCTTTGTTTACAAAGAAGTACAAATTCATCCATCCCCGGTCATTAGCTTTGTCCACCTTATGAATTAGGGCTTCTTTTCCTTCCTTCACTGCTAAAGTAAAGCGACCGGCTCCTGAGGATCTGAGGTCATAGGTAAAACCCAAGTCTTCAAAATCCAGGGCCAAACTATGTTTCTCACTCAAGACCTCTAAAGCTCTAAGTACCCTCCATACTTGGGGCATGATTTGGGAAGGCGATACTCTGACGAAAGCAAGAAAGTCTTGGACTAAACGTGAAAATGGGAATTTCATACCTATCTTGAAAGGGTACATCAGAAAGTTTACCCAACCATCGCAGAACCAATCTATCCTCTCGTTCGCTGCTGGAAAACGAATAACCGCATCATGAGGAAAGCCGATAGAAGACCTGATAAAGTCGACATGATGTTCTGAAAGTTTCGCTTGCTTGGAGTTCTTCGGATCTAAAATGTGTTGCGGAATGAAGGGTTGTGAAGCCATGAAGAACCAAGGTGCTGGCCGGGATTTGCAAGAAATCAAAAGGAGGAGAGAGGAAGTTTTTCTTTCTGAACTAATTCACTAAGGGAGGAAGAGATTAGTGATTGATTGATACTGAACGACTGACGGCCTTACACATTCCAAGGCGATGTCATGATGAAAATTCAAATAATCGGTTGGCCCTTTAATTTTTATTGAAATTGGCGCCCTCCTCTTCTTTGAATTGGGGGCAATTGTTGGGCCACGGAAGTGCAAATAGGTCGGTCCATCCCTAAGAGGCGAAGTCCAACTAAACAAAAGACCAACGAATCGGATAAGGATAGACTTAGTAGGAGTATTCAACCGAATGACGGGGCCTAGGGATTCGGCGACATTTCCGGCGGACAGTTGAACCATTTGAATAGAGTAACATTGTTGTATAAATAGAGGAAAACTTACAAAGGATAGGAGGATCCGTCTGGCTTAATTATCTATGCATTTGTAGCATCATTCCTTCATTCATACACTCAGATTAATACATTTCATTCATTAATTTTTGATTTTTACATTTTGTTTCTTGTACGATCCCTACATACATATAATTTTAGATTAGTTTAATTCTTGCTTAAACAGGGTCCATTCCTAATGTTCTGCCTGATCGCGTTATTGATTAGCTTTACTAAATCGAAGCTACAATCTTACTGATATTTTTAATTGGTGGTTTCTGTTTCTTTGGTTGTTATTAGACATTGTATTAAATAATGTAAACGCTTATTTGCTAGAATGCTAGTATATACTCCGTATAATTGTAGCAACGTAAACTAAAGGACCATAGGGAACAAACAAGAACAACTCTCAATGTGAAAAATAATTATACACGTCGTCGGTCGATCGAATTGTCAGACAATTTCTTTTCATTTTGTGAATAGAATTGCTTTTGGCGCTCACATTTTTTTTGTCTAAGCCACAATAAAAAACAATTGTCGATGTGAAAAGTAATTCCTTTCACAAAAAAAATGTCTCATAAAAGATAATTTGAATGGCATTTAAAAAAAAAGAACTTGTAAGAGAAGCGTGGTTGTTATCTTTTCAAGTTTGCGTGAAATTTGGTTTTCTTCTCCAATTATACTACAAAATCAACATTTCTCAATCAATTTAATGGCACGTATGTACGGCCGTTGCCAAGAGTATAGGCCCACACTAAACAAATCAATATGGAGTATATCCATTTGTAAAGACAATCTTAAGTCTGGTACGATTATTAATAAAATTGTTGTAAAGTAAAATATGTGATTAAGATTTTAGTATAATAAAGTGAAATGATAAAGATCACATACTTCGGTATTTCTTATCGAAAAAGAAAACAGGACAATCCAAATGGGACAGAGACTAGTTTATTGGGCATTACGTTGAATTAAAATACAAAGTATACCCTCAATTACCATTTAAGGTTTCTATACCTATTCATATAAACGAATAGTTTGTTAGATTAATAAAAAAGAGATGGATTGATATGATGATGTTTGCAGATATTGGCCATGGACATCAACAGGGAAAACTATGAGCTAGGTTTGCCGGTGATCGAAAAGGCCGGCGTCGCCCACAAAATTGACTTCAGAGGAGAGCCGGCGATGCCCATCCTCGATCAGCTCGTTCAAGACGTAAGTCGCCGCCGCTATCACCATCTCAGCAACCAAATTGCTCATCCCATTCATATACTCAGTCATGGACAATTGTTAATTATGAGCTCACATATCCCTCAATGCCAACCACAAATCGATAAATATGAGGGTTTTTCATAAAAATTATTCAAATTATACATATAAATAAAAAGTGTGATTAAAATTATAGGGGTATTTTGACACGTTCAGTCTTAAATCAAATATGATAATGTCATTGAAGTCACTATTACTTTTATTTTACTCTTTAGTCACTAACAAATTTAACTACATTTACTCCTTTGGCTATTGTGCCACACACTCAACTTTGAGTTTTACAAAAGGTCTCTAGTGTCTTTTAAAAAAATGTCTCTAGTCAATCAGTCCATGTATTGAAAGGCGAAAAATACAAATTTAGCATCAAAAGTGTATAGTTAGTTAATAAAAAAGACAAAAATTCAAAGCCCAAAATTTTGGCTGAATCTGATGAGATCATTAATGAAAATATGACTGAAGTGTCTTAATTTGGTGAATGTGAAAAAATATACGGAGTATATTTAAATTATATTTCATTGATAAAATTAATAAAGAATTATATGATAAATAGTTAAAAGGACCCATTTCAGTAACTTCAGCTAATTGAGCCTAAAAAGTAACTGCAATTTTATTTTGATTATTGCACAATTCAACATGCAAATCAAAATTAAAAAATTGATTGATATTTTGAAAATAGTGATTACCAAATAGATTCTTAATTATTAATCTCATCGTCCCATTCAGATTGTCCTATCTTTTCTTCTTGATTCATCCCACTAAAATTGTCATCTCGTACCAAATATAAAAAGTGAAATTTTGTTGTTGTCTATGTTTATTGGATCAGCCTACCAATCACGGAACATATGACTTCGTTTTCGTTGATGCTGACAAAGACAATTACATCAACTACCACAAGAGGTTGATTGAACTCGTCAAGGTCGGCGGCCTGATCGGCTACGACAACACCCTATGGAATGGATCCGTGGTGGCCCCACCCGATGCCCCGATGAGGAAGTACATCAGGTATTACAGGGATTTTGTCTTGGAGTTCAACAAAGCCTTGGCCGTCGATCCTAGGATCGAGATCTGCATGCTTCCCGTGGGCGATGGAATTACCCTGTGCCGCCGTATCAGTTGATCAACCTAATATAAATGCACTGTGACGAAATTGTAATAATGTTCACTCTCTAAACATAAAAAAGATAAACTCACTTCAAAGTATGTCTTTCGGATAACCATACCCAATGAAATTTATTGTTTTGTGTCAGTAACCCAGATTTCATCCTAAAAGATCAATCTAATATGAGGAGTAATCGAGATCTTAATATAGCAATTAATTCCTTCACAAGTTTCCGGTGTGTGAATTCAACACTCCTCCTCATGATCAGACACTCCGTCTGGATCGTGCCGTCATTCAATTTTGTTCATCGATTCATTATTGTCATTTTTTTATAATCATGTCATCATTTTTCATAGTTGGGCTCACACAAGATTCCATCCTAAAAGGTCAACCTGATAAGAGGAGTAGCTCAGATCTTAATATAGTATTTAATTGGTTCATAAATATCTAGTGCGGGATTTTAAGAGTTTCGCTTGCTTGATTTTTCCGAGAAATGTCGTATTGTTAGTAAAATTATCACAGAACCCTTTCTAAAACAGTTATAATGTGCTACACTGCTATCAGTGGAGTTTAGACCATTTAATTCGGTATATTCTATGGTGGATTGAGTTGAAGTGGAAATATGTCTACCATATCTTTTTCAGTAATAATTGTCATGTTTCAAAAATACGGTCGTTGAGGTTTATTCCGTCAACTCGTAGTCCCAACACACGACCCAAGGGTTTCGAAGGGAAGAAATAAAGGTGAAGATGTAGAAACAAGCAAGAAGAGGACCAGTAAGAAGTCTTAGTATATTAATTTCGGTACAAAGGCTTGAGGCCGTTCGTCCCTTGCATATGCTACGAGCTGATACAAATGCTATAATGCTAGAGTGCTAAGATGCGAACCCTTTACAATGAAATAAATGCTTCTATTTATAGTGCCAATGGTTAGTTGGATGCATTGACGTGGCGGGCTGTGGATCGCTTGACCCCGACCATCAAATCTTCTGCATTGAATGTGCTTCCCGCCACGATCTTGGCTTTCTGCCAAGGGGAGGGGATGTTCGTTCCATGAGCTTGCATCCTATTCCTGCTGGGATCCAAGTCCTGCCAGACGAGCGTCTTGTGCTGCTCATGGCCAACTGACCTGCCGACGCTAGGATACGGACGTCCCCTGGCCCTGTTGGGGACAAACCTTTCCAGAATCTGCGGAAAGGTAACTCGTTGTCTTGTGCCTTTTGGGGACGTGCGTAGGGTGACCCTTGAGGGTTTTATGGGCTAACCCCCGTTGGCCATTAACCCAACACAAGTCCCCCACTTCTGATGTTCCGAGCGTGCGCGGGTCATAAGGAAGTAGAATTGAATCCGACGTACCTCTCCAACTAATACCCCTGACGCCTCCCAAGTTGATGAGCCGCTCTGTATCCCTTGAAGCACGCCTCCGCCAGCTACCTGCCTTTCCGGGTTTGATACCTCGGGGCCGAACGTCCCTTGTGGGGACGACACTCTTCTCTTCCTTGGGATGTTCTCGGGGGGTCTCGCCCGGAGGCTTGGGTTTAGGGGACGGACGTCCGGTGGGCACTTTATGGGTCGATCCCTGCCGGGCTATTAACCCAACACAAGTCCCCCACTTCTGATGTTCCGAGTGTGCGCGGGACATGAAGAAGTCAAACTGCCTCCGCCGTACTGCATTTAGCCAATGCCCCTGACGTGATGGTTGTTTGCCGTATTCTGAGGCTCCGGGAATCTTGCTTTGTTCACTGGATCTTCGTGTCTGACCGTCTATCCTCTTTTGTGGAGAAATAGGTTCATCCTTTTGGGGACGTTCGTCCACCTTCCCACCGAACCGGGAGCTTTACTACACTGTTTAGTGTTCTTGGATGGAGAACAAGTTTGTCCTCTTGGGGATGTTCGTCCACCTTCCCACCGCACCAGCAGCTTTACTGCACTGGTTAGTGTTCTTGGATGGAGAACAAGTTTGTCCTCTTGGGGACGTTCGTTCACCTTACCACGCACCGACAACTTTACTGCACTAGTTAGTGTTCTTGGATGGAGAACAAGTTTGTCCTCTTGGGGACGTTCATCCACCTTCTCACCGCATCGGCAACTTCACTGCACTGGTTAGTGTTCTTGGATGGAGAACAAGTTTGTCCTTTTGGGGACATTCGTACACCTTCCCACCGCACTGGCAGCTTTACTGCACTGCTTAGTGTTCTTGGATGGAGAACAAGTTTGTCCTCATGGGGACGTTCGTCCACCTTCCCACCGCACCAACATCTTTACTGCACTTGTTAGTGTTCTTGGATGGAGAACAAGTTTGTCCTCTTGGGGACGTTCGTCCACCTTCCCACCGCACCGGTAGCTTTACTGCACTGGTTAGTGTTCTTGGATGGAGAACAAGTTTGTCCTCTTGGGGACGTTCGTCCACCTTCCCACCGCACCGGCAGCTTTACTGCACTGCTTAGTGTTCTTGGATGGAGAACAAGTTTGTCCTCTTGGGGACGTTCATCCACTTTCCCACCGCACTGGCAGCTTTACTACACTGGTTAGTGTTCTTGGATGGAGAACAAGTTTGTCCTTTTGGGGACGTTCGTCCACCTTCCCACCGCACCTGCAGCTTTACTGCACTGGTTAATGTTCTTGGATGGAGAACAAGTTTGTCCTCTTGGAGACGCTCGTCCACCTTCCCACTGCACTGGCAGCTTTACTGCACTGGTTAGTGTTCTTGGATGGAGAACAAGTTTGTCCTTTTGGGGACGTTCGTCCACTTTCCCACTGCACCGACAACTTTACTGCACTGGTTAGTGTTCTTGGATGGAGAACAAGTTTTTGTCCTTTTGGGGACGTTCGTCCACTTTTCCACTGCATCGGCAGCTTTACTGCACTGTTAGTGTTCTTGGATGGAGAACGCATTTCCCTTACTTTGGGAGTTATGTCTCCCTCCTTTTTTTGGGAGGCAGAAATTTAGCAAGATGGTGTCGTTGATAGGACTTCTTCACGTCCTCTATGCTTCGCATGCCAACAACATATCCGTCCATGTTGTGAGGGACAAACGTCCGATAGAAGTATGTCCTGTATCCCGACGGTCACTTGATCTCCAGTTTCCTCTTGTGGCCGTTCGGCCCGAGGAATCCCTTCAGGCATTTATCGTCTTGGCGATAATCGAGTCTCGGACCTCTGCTACCTGAAGACCGTCCCTGCGCCACGTGAATGGTTCCTAGTTCAACTGATTTTGGTTCTGAGGGATCGGTCCTCTTGTGAACTCCCTGAGGTAGCCCCTACGAATAAGTCCTTCAATGGCCACCCTCAGGCCGTTGCTGTGATCCGTGTTGTGCCCTACCGTGCGATGGTATTCGCAGTAGGCGTTGATGTTCTTTCACATTTGGCCTCTGGCGGCGGGCGGCTCCTCGATCATCCCTTCATCCTTGATGGCCTCAAAGATTTGGCTCAACGTGGCCGCCAAGGGGATAAGTCCGGTAAACTCCCGCCGGCCGTCGGATGGAGGACCTTGGGTTCACCAAGGGGCGTAACCACCGCTCATTTTCATCTTTTTCATCGTTGGGGCTTTTGCCGGCATCGACCCCAGACAATCTGCTGCCTTCCGGGCCATAGGGGCGGCCACCCCGTCCCTCTGGGCGATCTCCTCTTCGATCGCCGCATATCTCTGTGCCCTGGCTAGCACCTCGACATAATTGTCTCCGGGTTCCTCTTCAAGTTCAGGTAAAGATCTCTGGTTACAAGTGCGTTGGTGAAGAGGGTTATGCTTGTGTCCTATGTGAGGTCCTCGACCTTCAGGGTTTCATCCCTCCACCGTATGAGGAAGGCAGAGAGGGTTTCCTCCTTCCTTTGGAGGACGTCCGTCAGCCAGCTGAAGTGCCTCTTCGGCGTGGAGCTGGAGACAAACTGTCCCATGAACTGTTTAGAGAGCTGTTCAAAGCTATCAACGGATCTGGGTCTGAGCTGCCCGAACCATTCCTGCGCCGGCCCCTGAGAGTGCTGAAAAACAACATGCAGATGACATCATCGGAGGCTCCTAACATGGAGAGTTCTCCCTGGAATGAAAGTAAGAGGGCCTTCGGGTCCCCAGCCCCATCATACGTTAGAGTGCCATGGAGACGAACATCCCTGGGGACCTCCATCGCCATGATCCTGGCAGAGAAAGTAAAGGATAGGGCAATCCTTGGCTGGGCCGGTTTAGTTTCCGCTCTTCAGTTGAGCTCGTGGATCTACCTCTGGAGATCCATTAGCATCGCGTCTCGTGGGTAACCAGCTGCGGTCGTAGGGGTCACCAGTGCCAAAGCATCTTGGGTACGCACGGCGTCAGAGCCATGCTGCCTCTTGGTGATGCGGCCCCCTGATGCACACTAATTAGTAGTGCATAATTATATGTTTTTATGTTTGATTTATGTTGATGGTTTGACATTTTATTTAGTTTGTAAACATTTATGTGATTTCAGTTGTAATTGTATTTTATTCTTTATTTATAAGTTATAAAGTATAGTTAGGATTTGTGGTGTTGGAAATGAAGACTTTGAAGAGAAGAAAACAAGAAATTTGACTGCCCAGGAGTGAAACCCGACCAGGTAGAAACCCCCACTCGGTCAGGTATGATTTAACAGACGAAATTGCCAAGAAAGTCACTGGACCCGGTCGGGTCCCCTACTTGACCCAGTCGGGTCAGATGTGACCCGGGACAAAACGACGTGCAAAGATCACCAGAACGTGGCGAATTATCTGATTTTTACCGGACCCGGTCGGGTAAGTACTTGACCCGGTCGGGTACCCGGCCAAAGGTGTTGAAAAACACCTATAAATATCACACTTTTTCTTCTCTAAAAATCATTCCTTCTTCCATACTCTTAAGCTCAGTTTAGAATAGCATTTCTTTAT